GTTTTATGAGCATGCGCGCGCTACGTGATCAGCCTGCATCTGTATATGCTACATAAATAAACGTCGACTAAGTAAATTCTCTAGATTTGAGGTTTGTGGATCTAGTATGTAAGGGAACAAGTGTAAGAAATAACCAAGTACTAGTTACCTAATCTCTGCAATAATAGAGGTTTGTGGATCTAGTATGTAAGGGGACAAGTGTAAGAAATAACCAAGCACTAGTTACCTAATCTCTGCAATAATAGAGGTTTGTGGATCTAAGATTAGGTAACTAGTACTTGGTTATTTCTTACACTTGTCCCCTTACATACTGTGTGGTAGTATAGTGTATATTATGTGTGTGGTGTTTATAGTAGATTAGGTAACGATTACTTGGTTATTACTTACACTTGTCCCCTTACATACTAGATCCTCAAACCTCTATTATTGCAGTGTATGGTGTTTATAGTAGTGGAGTGTATATTATAGTAGTGGAGTGTATATTATAAAATAATCAATTAAACACAGTTTTCTAACAAACATAGAAATATAAAGAATAAAATCACACACTTACTCAGTCTAATCATTTTGTCCCTGGCATCTAAAATCTTGTATTTATCCTGACTAGAAACAGCAGGAGACGACATAAGTGCTGAAACATTATCTGAAAATAATGACACACAAAAAGATATAATTGGTTTTAGAAAAAAATAAATAATATATAATTCAGTCATAATAAAAAATGAAAACCAGCTTCTAAAATATTTAAAACCTTATTCCCTACTATAGTGTCTATCAATTTTTTATATAACGTTATTTTTAACTTGTTACAAAGTGATTAATGTCCAATGGATATTTCCAAGTCATGTTCTACATTTGTACATCTAAAAATTGTAATACATCATTAAGATTGCACGTAAACACCAATAATATCACTAAATTACACCAGAGTTTTAGAATCTCATACCAAAGATTATGCTTCTTACACTAGACATCTTAAGTTATATTCCTATTTTTGAGTATCCTGCTTGAAACTCTGGAAACAAAACAAAACAGACACTCTTGTTGTCATTAGGTGCACGAAAGTGGAACTCCTGTACAAATATTACATTATTTTTCTAGCAAAGAATACTTTACTGGAAGTTTTTTGTTATTCATGTTTTTTTAATATGCTAAGTACTAACATAGAGCTTCTGAACTAACGCTGCCCGCCTCTTGTTCTCTAACAGTATGAGAAGAGCGTTTCACAGCCTTCTGTGCTCGTTGTTGTTTTACTTGGGTATGGGTTTTAATCTTGGGCCTCTCCAACAACTTGGGCTCCTGTAAACTTCCTTCCATAGCTTTAAGCTCCTCAGAAACACTAGAAGAATCTCTCGGAGAACCTAAACCAATCAAAATAGCACGTTGATTCATGTTCAGTTCATTTTAGGTATATTTAAAAAATGAAAGTTTTTTAACTCAGACTATTTGCAAGAGTGTTATAGCATATATCTATGAAATATACATGTCTTTTTATTTCAGACAAACATGGAAGAATATAAAATTTTATTTAAATCTTTTTTTTGTTGTTGCAAGATTTTCATGGTTACACTAATATTATCATTACAATAAATAATTATGTTTAAAAGGTTTTGCAGGTTTATCAGAGAAAAATATCAGCATCTATTGTCAAAATAAAAAAAAAAAATTAAAATAAAGATAATTTACACTTCTGCAACAAGTTCTTTATTAATTGAGACATGTACAAAATGAAACAGTATACTAGACATAGATTTTAAAGATTATTTAATAAATCATACCTGTTTAAACAGAAAAGAAAGATAACTAATAATCCAACAAATAAAATTTAACTACTTTACATTTAAGGTCTTGGTTGCAAGCCTACTGAAGTGATTAAATAATTAAGAGTTTATTCAATGTCCACCATTTTCCAGTACTTGACACTTACTTACGTAAATGACTCTAACTCCCACAAAACACATACAACTACAAAAAATAATTTCTAAACATATCCCATAATGCCTAAAATAAACAATATGTTTTTCAACATTGCATCTGTTGCTTTAATATATGTTTAGTGTATATTTTTCTTCAGTCAACATACACTGTTCTAAGCCATTTTTAGATTTAGTTATGTTCAGAAGTTATTAATAATCACTCAAGGACATACTAACCACATGACATGTTAAACAGACACACACGAGTTATGTTTCATTATTTTTATCAAACATGGTGCATGTATATAGATTATTGCTATTTTGAAATTAGTTCTGAAACTTAGTTTTCTTAAAACATAGAACAGTAAATAAAGAAGTAAAGCAAACAATTATCTCTTCAAGTTACAACCTTTGCTTGACATCGGTTGCTAAGCCTTTAAAAGTTTTGCATGTAGAAGATATGAAACAAAATAATTTTTTTAGGTTTTATTTATACATTTGAATAACTAAAAAAAATCATAAATTAGAACATCAATATCATAGAATTCCACTATAATTTAACAAGCTTAGTAACTAAGACCTATTTTAGTCTAAAAAAATATGAAATTTCTAGCAGACTAAAGACACACCCTACTTCCTTGAAATATTGGTTCAAAAGAAAGAAATGGCATCCAAGCCCATTAAAATGACTGAGAAAGCCACTAGGGGGACATTCTGTGCTATCGATTGGTTATTCATGTCATATATAGAAGTAAGTGTACATAAGGGAGCATTTCCAAAAAATGGAAAGAGGTGGGTGTGGTGCTACTGTGTTTGATTTATTACATGAGCAATATCTTAGTAAACAGAAAAGATAAGATGTTATTATTTTATATTCTAGCTTGTCAATATTGGTAATTTGAGTTTCTAATTTGTACAAAACTATAAACTTAGTATTTTGACATCACAAACATCTAATTTGAACCAGTGCTGCAATTAACATACCACGTGACACACAAAAATCAATGTTTATCTGTGTTTCTAATATTTACTTTTAAATTAAGAAATTAAATAATGTATTATAATCTACAGTTTGATACCAAAGTTATTGACATAAATTCATGAAATAGTAGTTCAATAAAATTCTTAATGCGAGTCAACAAATGAGATGAAATGACCTTTCACCCACGACACGTCTTGAAAGGGTTAATGGATAATAAAGAACATATTAAAAACATGTCCTTCTAAGTTTTAGTTAAATATAAATAGGTTTTATGTGAACTAATGTTAACTTCTGATCAAAGTAAGCTAGCAACATGTAAAGGAGTGTATTTATTACTTGTTAGAAAAGTTGTTTCAACAAAGCAATATTTCACAGCACGTAAGTCTTATATTTTAATACCATAAAACGAGTACTTACTATTTCGTCTCTTTTGTACAGCACTCCAAAATATTTCCAATGGTGGGTAGCCCGATTTGATTAAAGATCCTTTTTCTCGAGCAGCTTTAGCTGATTCCTAAAACCATCAAGTAAGCATATTATTTTATTCAAACAACTGGTGTCTCATGCATGATAAAACAAACACAATCCTTTGAAAGAGCTTTAATCCAAAACATAATAACAACCAATCACTATAAGGTAACGGTGATTATGTGTTCCAAAAAATTCTGCTTCAAGTTGTACATATCATTAAAATAGTAAACAACTAATAAATTATTTGTCCAAATATACTTAAGTAAATGACTAGACTTACGTGATCATAAAAATAAATCACAGCATAATTCTTTTGTGGACCACAGGTTATCCGACGAACTTTTCCAAACTTGGAAAAATGTTCCTGTAAAATCTGTTTTTTGTTTATTTCCTCCGAAATACCTTTGCAAATAATTGAAGTAATGTTTCGAATCTCTTCGGGTGAAGCTATACGGCGTTCTTCTCTTTTTGGAGTTTTCAATTCTGCTTTTAACAAAAATGAAATATTACCACACAATCTTACTGATATGAAATGAAACTTCCCAATAGCTTCTACTGTTTGATACTTCCATGTTATAATCTCGGTGGTAAACAACAGAGTAATGCAACAACTAATTTCTGTTTACTAACTATATGTTAACATTGTCGTTTACTAAAAAATAAATGTGAGGCCTAACCTATCATTCAAGTTACCACTCATCACTGAATTATATGAGAAAATTCTGCCAATTATCAGTAACCTTGGACAAGGGCAAATCTAAATAATAAGCATAGGCTTCATTTAGTAATGGAGTGTATATTACATGTATGGTGTTTATAGTAGTGGAGTGTATATTATATGTATGGTGTTTATAGTAGTGGAGTGTATACTATATGTATAGTGTTTATAGTAGTGGAGTGTATAAGTATGGTGTTTATAGTAGTGGAGAGTATATTATATGTATGGTGTTTATAGCATCTTTGTAAATCACAGCTAGACAAATCCCTTCTCCCTTAACCCTTTCCAGACGGGTCGCGGGTGAAAGGCTGAAAGGTCATGTCATCGTGTTTTTTGACTCGCATTCAAAATTTTATTGAACTACTATTTCTTGAATTTATGTCAATAACTTTGGTACTGGATATGGCATCTCTGTCATATCCAAGTCAGAATGATGAGACTTGGTCTTGGGTGAAAGGCCTTGTCAGTACTGGATACGGCACCTCTGTCATATGTTAAGTTTAAAACTGTTGGTTTACTATGTTAAGTTTAAACTTACTTTGCACTGTGACTTAACTTCAAATATGGACAATCTCATTTTGCTAGCTCGGTTGTATCGTTCCTTCTCGGGGCACATATCCGGGCAAGTTCCAACAATAGCCTGGGCCGTGGCAATGTCGGACTGCTTTTGATGTTCTGTAAATTTAAAATAAACAGATTCTCACAACAGCTTTAGTTAACATTTCTAGTAGCAAGCAGGAACTGTGTTGACAAAATAAATTGGACAAAAGTAAATACAAAAACTTAGAGACAGAATTACAAAGGAAGTAGTTTTAATAAAAAAAAGGAAGTGGAAAAAATACCACATGATATGTTTGTGCTTTAAATTTTCCCAGTATTCCTTAACCCTTAACTTGTTTTTATGGCATTAAGGTCTACATCATATTAAGTAAGTTTATGTTTTTTGCATGTTACAACACTCTGTTCAATGAGCTGATAAAAGAAATCACTAATTTTAAATGTGTAAACAGAGGGTCTTCTGGTAGTTAGTGGGATTAATGACTATAATACTGTTGGTACTTTTATTTTTTTAAATCTTGTTAATAGGGATTTGGTAACCAAATGTGAGTGAAAGTAAGAAGAATATGTTATAATATTTCAATCATGCTACATCTGCTGTATCCAGTACTGACAAGGCCTTTCACCCAAGACCAGGTCTCATCACGCTGACTTGGATATGACAGAGGTGCCGTATCCAGTACTGACAAGGCCTTTCACCCAAGACCAGGTCTCATCACGCTGACTTGGATAGTAAATTAAGAGTTTTAAACTTAACATAGTAAATTAACAGTTTTAAACTTAACACATTGTGTTAAGTTTAAAACTGTTCTCTATTAAGTTTAAGACTGTTATTTTACTATGTTATTTTTAAAGTTGTTATTTTACTGTGTTAAGTTTAAAACTGTTAGTTTACTGTATTAAGTTTAAGACTGTTATTTTACTATGTTATGTTTAAAGTTGTTATTTTACTGTGTTAAGTTTAAAACTGTTAGTTTACTGTGTTAAGTTTAAAACTGTTCTGTATTAAGTTTAAAACTGTTAGTTTATTATGTTAAGTTTAAAACTGTTAGTTTACTATGTTAAGTTTAAAACTGTTAGTTTATTATGTTAAGTTTAAAACTGTTAGTTTACTATGTTAAGTTTAAAACTGTTAATTTATTATGTTAAGTTTAAAACTGTTAGTTTACCTATCCATGACATTGCATAACAAATAATCCATGGTCATGTTCAAAACTTTTGGTGGTCTGAGCTCATGTGAAAGAGGTTCTTCTTGATCGGCAGACGATCGACTGTACTCCTTCACCATAGCACTCTGGTCCATACTACCACTTTCTCCATGCTTCAAACAATTACAGCGGTTAATACATTGTATAATTCTTTTTTATGTTCATGTATTAAACATGTACTTCAGTTATAACACGATTATTGAAAAGATAACAGAAAATATTACACTTTTGTAAATAGATATATCTGTTTTTATACTGGTTACTGATACACTTAAGAAATCTTACAAAATGGAGCTTCATGATAAATAACATTACACCTCAAGCAGTAACTGAGATTTAAAAGTTTTTTACTAAGTTTCTAACACACAGAATTTTTAACTCACGTAAAATATTTAACATTATGATATATCATTTCCAGCATCACATGAGCTAGAATAGTATTCTTGTCATATAATGAAACGCTGGTAAAAGTTGAAATAAGCTTATAACTCATGTTACTTCAATCTTTATCTTATCATCAAATAGCTGAAATATTCCTATGTATTCTAATTTTACTGTATTTTGAAACCAATTAGTGGCAGAAATAGAATTTTCAACCTGAATAGGACCTTATGCAAATATGGAATAAGTGATTAGGTGAGAAAACCCTAAAGTTCGAGTGTAACCATTCCAAATATTTAGTAGATGACAGGTTGCCAGCTAATAGCATCTGCTGCCAAAGGGGCTTTATTAGGGTCTTGTAATTGATTAAAAGGATTAACTGTGAATTTTCTAATTTGTTTAGTGTTATTATTTCTCAAACCTTGGACCCTCTTATTTTCAACCTAATATGTTAAATACAGAAATACAAACTCCATTCAAACAATAAAATTCATTACTTAGGCCTAATATCGAAATAACAGTTTAAGAGGAATAAAACCGATCTTCATAGCAGTTAATAATTACTAATGTTTGCCTTACTTAAAAGGATATTTATAATAAATAACATTTCGTTTTCGATAAAATGTTACTTGCACTAAATAAGCACTAAATCTCTTTCTAAATTGTTCGTAAAAATATTTGGCATGCATCCAAGGATCTACACTTTTGGGTGTCTAGGTAACTTACATTCACTTCCGAGTATCTTCAACCATCTTACTCACTTTAACTAACATCTCGTTGACAGCCAGCCAATCAAGATACAGCATATCGCATTATTCACAACCCTCTACATATTGGAGCTACAGATTATTGCAATTATCATTTCAAATGAAGTATTTAAATTTATTCGTTATTTTTTAAAATTTATTTCATAATCTGGTTAAGAAATGATCTAAAGACATGTAATTACAAAGTGACAAAATCAAACTATAGCTCATGTCAACATTTTTAAAAATATGGTTTACGTATCCCAACATATCTATCTAGACTGTGTACACAGACAAACACTCAAAAACCATACATGGATAAAATGAAGAAATAGATCCCGAGTCTGATCTTGGCAAAAAATATATATACACAGTCCCTATCTTATAAACATGCACATTGAGTATAGAAAGGAAACCTAGAACTCAGGAGGCATTTAAAAGAAAACTCCAGTTATGTTCTCTTCAGTCTTAGGTTACTATGTTAAGTTTAAAACTGTTAGTTTAATTAAATGACAAGACTACATCTCCTGGAGAGTGGTATGACTTTATCTGGAATCGGACCAGAGCCATTAGAAAGGTTAGTTTGTTGAACACTTGGGTACTGAATGTTTTAATCAATAAGTAACAGTTATGTTTGTTAGTTGTGTGCAAGGAAGAAGTGGTTTTAATAG